GTGCTTTGCGCTTCTCCTTTAGCCGACCGAGGGAGGCAACATCCAACAGTCCAAACCTCTTGGAGAACCAGCGAAGGGTGTCCCAGATGCGCTGGATCTTGTGTGGGGTGGCCTCCGTGTCGCGCAGCTTGTTGAGGAGGGCGCGCACCGCCGCCTCATCCCAGGGGATCTGGTTGAACCCCATCCGGATAAGTTGCTCAAGGCCCAGGCAGTGAATACGTAGGGTGCGGAAGCGTGTGTCACCCAAGAGGTCCATGTACTCCTGGAAGAGGTCTGGCCCATGTATTGGCTGGAGGTGGGGGATCTCATTGGCATAGGGCGCCATGTGGGCAATGAGCCTCCTCGCCCAGTGGAGCCGGAGGTCACTCTCCAGTCGTCGCTGGGTGGATGGTTCCATGTCCCGGATGCGACCGGGTTTCCAGTGCCGCCACTTCTCCAAGGCCTTCAGCGCCGGAAGAGGCTCGATTGGGGTTCGGAGCCAGTTGACCCGGTCCGCTGCGGCCCACCGTCGTTCTCGGTCATTGTAGGTCATCGAGTGGCGCCCCTGAGCGGTGGCATGGGCTAGGCGGCCAAAGGCCAGCGCCACTTCTTCAGCATGTTCTGGAGTCGTAGGTTGAGGCATGTTGTCCAGGGTGGAGTGGATTAAGAAGTCCAGGAACTCTGTGCTCACCACTCCAGTCGGTGTCTGTGCAGGATCAATCACTAGAAAGGGTTCGAACAAGCCCATGAGCAATTCCGCCTCCCCGTAGTGAGCCGCCATGATCAGGGCGGTCAGACATTCCCCGTCTGCCTGGACGGGCGAGAGGCCATTGCGTCTGAGGGTGTCCTGCATGTGGGAGGGGCTTCAGGGCATAGTGCTGAAGCTCCATGGAGCAAGGCTGGGGAGCCGTCCATGCACACCGGAGGCTCCGCCCGACTGCCGCCAGGTTCACGCCAGCGCCAAGTACCCTCAAATGGCTGCGGAACAAGCACAAGGCCCCAAGTCCCACATCGAAAACGAGAAAACAAAAGGTCACGTCCGTCTCGTTTCAAAAGCAAAAAGCCGGTACCAGGGGCTTTCCCTACGACTCGGGCGACTGCAAGTGGTACGGTCCACTCTACGGCTGTGGCCAGTGGCAGAACGGAGGCGCCACCACCTGCCACACTAACCTCCACCGAGCAAAGGGACTTCTGAGTGTCCCCCAAATCGGGGGCATCCGACTGCCAACAGAGCTGCTTGTCCGCATCAAAGCTCATGGTCCAAGTGACTCCATCCACCGTCACAGAGCCGTCGGAACCTTCCCCTCCGTAGAACCACGGTGGAGGCACTTCTTTTTGGCTGGCAAGATCCAGCTCGTGAAGCAGCTGGCGCACATGTAGGGCAGCTTGTCCTCCACCTCCGGGAGGGTCGTCAGCTTCTCCATGGAGCGCGCCCCTTTGGGCAAGTGCTTGGCCTCCCAAATCTCCTGCGCCAAGTCCTTGGCAATGGCATAGACCTCAACAATGCGAGCAAAGGCCGGCGGGGTGAGCTTGTTCACGTCAAACTTGAGCAAAGCTCAACGATCTCACCCACCTGGAGGCTCCGCAGCGGCTGCGCCAGTTTCTTCGGGAGGCAGGGAAGGCCAGCCATGACATTGGTCAGAAGGATGTTCCCGTCCTGGGCAAAGGAGTAGGTCACAGGATCTTGCAAGCGCTGCTCCATCGGAACCTCAGTGTCCAGACTCGTCCGCAAAGTCGAGGAAGGCACCGGCGGCAGCTGCTTGCCCAGCGGCGACAAAGCCCCTGAGGCCGGCACAGGGACACATCCGGGGGAGGCTCGGTATCAGGGCATGAAGCACCTGCCAAGGCTCTCGAATGGTCACCCCCATCCAAGGCACCAGTTTCAGAGGGACTCGCTGACGGAATCCCAGTATCAGGGCCAGAGGCACCTGCCGGGACTCCCGCGTCGTCTCCCTGATCCAAGGGGCGTTTGCGGCTGCTTGACACCGCCGATGGATCCTCGCTGCCACCTCCTGCTCCATGGGATCCGGTCCCAGGATCACAAAGTCCTCCGCAGAGTCCAAAAGTTCGAAGTCGAAGGGTTCCGCCATGGCGGCGAAAGTCAGAAAAGAGCGAAAAGCGAAAGTCGCAAAAGTTCGCAAAAGTTCGATCTTTGATGGATCAGGGGCTGATCCTTGAGCCAAAATGGCTACGGCCATTTTGGCTAATGAAATGTATTGTGGACACATTGTTTGCAATCCGCAAACTCCTTGCAAAACCAAAATATCTAAGTCACACCATGAGTACAGTGCTTAAGCAATCTCTGAGGTCTCCACGGTCTAGTCCCTACCTTTGTTTGTGCGTACCCACCACCCGGGACTGTCACAAGCGATGCAACAAAATGATGTTTGGAACCAAGGCCATCATCGGCGACCACTGAGCATGAGCACCTTTTCAGTGGAATCGATTGAATCGATGGTACACCCGAGGCTCGAGGCAAAGTGTTTCTATAGGTCAAGGACGGGTCTGCTCCAGCTCTGTTGTCCATGAAACTGGATCCTCTTCTGCTTGAGAGCCCTACTTGACCAATAACCAGGGCTCCTTGAACAACCGCTTAGAAGGGGCCTTCCCTGACGTCCAGACAAATCGCTAGCATGGAAGGAGATATGAATGTCAATCACACTGCTTAAGGCGAAGTTTGAGTGTTGTGAAATGACATATCTGCCATGTGATTCACTGTATCTGGATTCCAAGCTGTCTCTTGACCCGTGGCACCCAAGGTGCAACGGCAACGGTGAGACTGAGTAGGCATGTGGCTGCCTGAAGCAAGTCAAGGGTGCCAGAGTTGGTGGAACGTGTGTTGAAGATGACCAATCAGGATCAGGGTTCGTTTAGGGCGGCTTCTCTGAGAGTACCTCTTGAAAAGCTCAGCTAACACTCCCCCAGTGGCCATACCACCTAATCCGCGCGCCCGCACATGCCCACGACGTCGACGTGGTGGGTCTGACCTGGACTCAAGCCAAACAAGGGTGGGCCTTCGTCGAATTTTACCATGTTTCGCGATGCTTTACGAATTGGTGAAATGCTCTGCAAGTACCTGTCTTCAGTGTGTCCTTCACTCATGGCCTCATGGCCCACTCCCAGCATATGGTGTTTCTCAAAAGTTGAGCCAAGTCCATGAGCTAGGATCCATTCATTCGATTCATTGGCACCAAGTCCATCCCTTTCTTCTCGGAGAGCTTGACGGATCTCTTTGCTCAATCCGGTGGAGTGCTTTCAACCGGGAGGCCGGGAGGCCGCACTTCCTTTTCGCTGTGAAACGTCTTTCTAAGAGAGTCGGGGATGGTGAGCTCGACTAAGGAGGTGCCATCAAAGGCACCTGGCCCAAGATAGGTCTTTGGGTTCAGAATGGTTAAGCTTTGCAAAGCACTGCAACCTTTAAAGGCAAAGTCCCCAATGTCCGCCACAGATTCTGGAAGACTGAGGTTCTTCAAGGCACTACACCCCTTGAAAGCCGACTCCCCAATTCGGGTCACAGAGTCCGAAGGGAGGATTTCCAAACTGCTCAGTGAGCTGCAGCCTGCGAAGGCACTGTGCCCAATATGGGTCACAGAACTGGGAATTGTCAGGCGTTTTAAGGAGCTGCAGTTTTTGAAGGCAGCAGATCTAATCGAACTCACAGAATTTGGAATAGTGAGACTTCGCATGGAACTGCAGCTGGCAAAGGCACAGTCCCTGATACAAGTCAAAGAGTTTGGAATCTCGAGGCTTCCCAAGGAGCTACAGCCTTGAAACGCGGCTTCATCGATGAGGGTCACAGAGTCAGGTATGGCCAAACTAGTCAAGGAACTGCAGTCCTTGAAAGCGCTGTATGCAATAGACGTCACTGAATTGGGGATTGTCAAGCTCGCCAAGGAGCTGCAGCCATGAAAGGCAGAGTCTCCGATGAGCGTCACAGACTCTGGGATGGTTATGCTGATTAAAGAGCTGCACCCTTCGAAACCAAAAGGCAGAATCTCAGTCTCGGAGTCAGGAATTCTTACAATCAGCAACTCTTGGACATCGTACCCAGATTCTTCCCAGCTGCGACATTCCTCTGCATCCACTGAGAAAAGGACATGCACCTCTGTTTCAGCGGAGATTCCAGTGTCCAGCAGAGTCGCATTCTCATCACCCTCCAACTTTTGGCCATCAAGCACCAACTCTACAGTCGTTACTCTCCTGGTGACATGATCTGAAGACTGCAGCGCTGTGAGCTGCCATTTGAAGTCAGAGATCTTGGTGTCTGGCATCACTTCTACGATGGTCATCTGGCCACTCATCTGGAACACGGACACCTTCATCGCCATGGCGCGAGGGTCATCAAGCATTTTGTATGTGAGTCGATGCGGTAGGATGAGTCGATGTGTGGATGCTCTTCTATCCTTGATACGTTTCTGATTGAAAGCCTCTGGTCTATGGTCAGCCCTTGAAAAAGCTGCCCACAACTTGGCGTCCATGTTGCAGCTCATGCGGACAGTGAAGCCACAAGAGCACTCTTTCTTGCTTGCATGGATGAGGTGTGACATGGCCCTTGTCCAGAACCTATGACCTATGATTTAACAAAAAATATAAATCCTTGCCACGGAAAGCTCCCTCCGTCCGTAGGAACATTGAGTAGGACAGGGGCTGCTTGTGTCCCTTCTCCTCTACCAGCCCATCAAGACAAGCGAGGTCAGTGACCGCAGTTGAACGGCAGGGATTGAATAAATAGTCCCTTTCCATGTCCTTCTTTTCATGGTTTAACCAATATGTAGATATTCTATACACCTTTGGACCTTGCTTTTCTCCCTCAAATATCCCTTTGAACTCCCTCTTCCCCATGCACAAACCCATTCCAATCGCCCTTGGTGGCTTTCCCGAACCTTGAAGTGTACTTTCAATCACCTGTACCTTCAAGTGAATTCTCCAAGCCTTGTTCCGGAGTCCAAACAGTCTCGTCATCCTTCGATGTCGCTGGCCCCGCTGAGCACGACCGGAGCCTCGATGCGGCGGTCCCTTTTTCCTCCCGCCGAGCACGAAAGAAGCTCCCGGCCGAGAAGCCCGACAGGCTCGCCTCGGTGGGGGTTGCGACGTTAGGCTCAGGAATCTGAAAGAATCTATGACAAATATGATGATCTATGTACGCCCTGCTTTTCAAGGGAAAGAACAAAGACGTACAGGTACAGAAAGTACATGAAAGTACCAATAGTTTCTGCTGGTTCTTGGCCATACCTCGATAGATTCAACTCTTGTCTATCACGCTCTGGGTCACTTGCAAACCAAGTGGACAGTTGTGGCCGGGGGTTGTTGGGTGATCTCCCACACAGCCGGTCCCTGAAAAGCGGGCACACAAGCAAGTATCCTGCAGTGGTTCACGAACTCAGTGAAAAGACTTGCGATGTTGTGGATTAGAGGTCACTCCGAAGTGGGTCACACTGAAGGATTATAGAGGTTTGCCGCGGTATTCTGATGGTCTATGTTCACTGCTCTTGGTTGCTTTCGGATTTCGAGACGCGACCGCTCCAAGCCCCGACGACGCTCAAGCGGCCACAAAGGGCAGAACCAAGTCCATAAGGCTCACCTGGTCGGATTGCCGATCTACCAGGAGCGTTCGGACGCTACTAGGGGCGCTCCAGGCCGTACTACTAGGAACAAGAAGCTACTAGTAACAAAGGGCATCGCTACTAGGAGCAAGGACGCTACTAGTGACCAGTGTTGTTTGCGAAACATCTCTTCATCGGTGGGCAGGGGCCATGCAGGTGCGGTGAGTGCATTTCAGTGAGGAAAGCCGTGGAATGACGATTTGTTGATGGGCCCTTTGATCCTTCATAGTGCTGCGAGATCCAGTACTAATCTGACTGGAACTCCCGCTTGTAGAAGCAATAAAGTCGGCATCCCTGAAACAAGGGTTGTGCCGTTCAGCACGTCAGAAACAACCTCTGTGTCTCTTCAAATAGATGAGCACTCCTCCAGTCAGTCCTTTCAGCCACTGCCTCCTCCACCGCCGCACCAAGTACGGACTCCAGTGACCGCAGGTTCCTGAATTCTGTGCCCGGAGTGTCGCCCCCTTTGTCGTGGTCATGTCAGAAACAAACTGGGACTTATTGTGAAGTTATTGAAGCTATTGTTGAGTTCGTACCAGACTTGAAACGAAGTGATCATCGAGGACCCGGTCTCGTGGAGAAACCCTTAGCCTTAGTCCCAATAAGCCTATAGGTCATGACGAGCCTACACATGTGGCCTGCTAATTTCCTCTTCGATGGCTTGGGCCCCCGCTTCCCCACTTGCCTTTATGAAATGTTATGAACAAACCAAAACAAACCACTTTCACATGTATAAAAGACAAGCTATCGGAAAGTGATCTATTCTGTTGGTTCGGATTGTGTTTTTGGCCAAAGGAAAATCTGACCATTGATGACTCCTACCACAGAATCTAAGTAGGCATACTGCACATGGCACGTGATTGTCCTAGCATGTCCTAACAACTGTTAGTGGATTTTGATCGACTGCAAAAAGGAGATTGAGACACATTCCTGCCCTGACATGGGAGTACTAAGAACTTCCGCCACAACATGTTTTCTGGCGCTGGGCTGCTTGGCAGGTGACCAAGGAACATACAGTACATGAACATACCATCTTTGGACTCACAGTCAGTCATTCTGCCCGCCAATTCCGCGATCTGTGAAAACAACTGGCACAGCTCGATTGTCGAAACCTCACAAGGGCAAGTTCCGACACAAAGGGACCAAGGCACAATGTTCCGACGTCAATCTCCCTGAACACACCTGGCGAGGCCGAGTCGCCATGTCTCCTTTGAAATCCGTTGGAAACTCTGTGGACCTCCCAAGACTGTTCTCCCTCGAGTTTCCAAACCAAATTTCCCGTTCAATTGTATATCAGCGGAGCAGAATTCGGGTGGACGAATTTCAAAGTCAAAAGGGAAGATGGTGAAGCGGCCTTGGAAGTAAAAGGCCAAGATGGCCAAGACCACTGCGAAGGCCAAAGGAAGCACCGTCTCCATGAGCCCGCGCACTCCAACCTGGTTGAGTCAAGCAAAGAACCACCACGATTCCCCAAAGGCATCGGGCTTCACCGGTCAATTGAAATGTCAAGCTGCGGAAGGAGAACTTGAGCTTGCCACAACATGTTGCAAAAAGTGGCCATAAGCCATAAGTGCGCGAACTTCCCCACAATATCCCACAATGTTTCTGCTCCAGCATGGTCTACTGTCTTCAGATGGTCTTCCCCTTTCCCGAGCCCGATGAGCATGTTGGGACAAGACACCAGCGTCGCAGCTTCCAAAGCCAAGTCGCCCAGGCCTTCCTGCCAAAGGAACTTCCTCGGGAAGGAACGGACATGGACTCCATGGGCCGTGACCGGCATTCATCTCTTTGATCTGTGAGGGTTTCGCTTCTTGTCAACTTGGAGACCTCGATACATTTCTCAGAGTGCCAGAATCCCTATAGTGGCCCGAAGTCCCATCGTTGTGAATAGCCGTGCCAAGACCGGAACCAAGCCCAGGGTGGGTCTTCCAAAACGGGTCCCTCAGTCCCCTTCCAGGCCTGAACACGAAGCCATCTAAAAAGCCTCAGTGCGCGGGCCCCAAAGTAGCATTCCAACAGTTCAACCCGGTGGCTCATAGTTTCTCAACTGCTGGAGAGTTGATAGCTGGGAAGAGTCTCTTGGAGATGCTTTTCGGAGGAAATGAATGCTTCAGATTCGAAAAGGCGCACCCCCTGCAGAGCATGTCGAATTGCTTCTGTCCAGACAGCATCGCAAAACAGGACGAAGCACGGCAAATTCTAGATTCTAGAATCTAGAAGTTAATCTCAGATTTCATGTTGAGAGTGCAGAGCTTGTCTCGACAACAACCCGGTCACTGACGAGAACCTGGGGAAATCACAAGTTCCGCTTTTGATTCAATCGCACAGTTGAGGGATGTTGTGCGTCAAAGTCTCGGAAGACTTGCAGTAATAATGCACATGACATGCATATTAGACCTTTCAATGCTTGTGGAATTCCATGTACTCGCCGCAGTATTACCATACCAGCAACCATTCACAAGAACACCCCCACTCCGTGAGCGTGCTTTCCACGTTTCCCTTACAGCGCCAAGGAGCCTGGGCTGATGACCACCCTCGCCAAAGCTCGGTCGACGCCTGTGGAGAAGCCCAACAAGAGTGGCAATACCCCACGTGGCCCGTGAGACACTTCTACCCGGTTCTACCCAGTTATGCTTCGGGAGGGAAGAGCTTTATCCCCTGATAACACCCAGGAAGATGTCTCAAGTCCAAAGAGTCACTGAGTGGGTCAGAATCATCAAATACCCAAGCTTTATATCGTCAAGTTCTCAGTCCGGGTCTGGCCCTGCTCGCTGCTCCTGTGTCGCTGCTCCCGCTCTCGCTTCGCCTGGCTTCTTCGAGAAGGAGCCAAAGACCGAAGCAAAGGAGCCCTCGGTGTGAACCCAGAAATCCAGCATCGATCGCAAGGCTTTGTCCTTGGTGCCCGAATCGGCCAAACTCAACTCGCAGCCCTATGGCTGAAAATGACCCTTGTTCCAGCAAAGCCCAAGGTTGGGGCAGTGGTTTCTCAAGAAGCCTGTTGAAAATCCTGAAATTCAAACAAATATGTCGATCATCATGCTCCGATGAGGCAGATCCGAAATGCATATTGATCGCACCGCCTCCCCTTTGCAGGTGTTGATCCAAAGACTCAGCATGATGCATGATAGACATGTCAACTAGAAGAGGTTTGCCAGCTCGACAAAAACACGTCAAAGCCGAGGCACGTTGCCACGCCGCAGTAGCAGTTGGACGATGAACTTGTCGAGACCTCCGGGAGGTGTCCAATCCCAATCCGCTGCAACCTGACCCCAGTAAAAAATATGTCTATATATAGAAAATGGTACAGTTGCGTGAACAAGAAAAAAGGAAAAACGCCAGCCCTGCCGCAGGCACGAATTCAAACATGGCGCACCTGGCTCTTGCAAGAGCTCCGTGATGAAAAGCATGACATCCTCGCGCTTAGCAATGCGGGCAAACCACTTCTGCATCTCAGGATCACGGTTCAACCACCTCAGCATCTGGCATATGGATGACACCGTGGATATGGATGTGTGACAATATGTGATATGCGTTCGATGGATTTGTCTGTTGCTGGAGCTGGAGAACCAAATCTGCCTTCAGACGTGTCTTGTCTGGACCATTTCTGTTTGACATATATAACACGTCATGTCTCACAACTCTGGCTCTAGGGATTTTAATATCCACTGACACAGGGTCGGCCATGTCGTGTCTACATATTTGTTCACCGGTTCGCGTCAAGGTGAACTGGCCCTGATTCTGATTCACCAATGGCCCATATGTCGGGCTTCACGATCTTTCTGGAGATGCTCTGCGAAGTTTCAGAATGTACAACGGGAGTCTTGACAAGCGAATGATCTCTGCTCGACAAGCCTCTAAAACATACTGAAACCGAGAACAACGGTGCGACTCTTGACAGCATCAATTCATCGAACAACTATGGGATACCTGCGGACTATTGCTCGAATGATGGAGCCTCAAAGAGGCCTCAGAGAGCTCATGTGTTTCCTCGAAAACTTAAGCAACACGTGACCAACGTGCAAAACACAGCAGACGTGGAGACCATTCGAACCTATTCAAATCTATGGTCTCCACCTCTATTATGGTGGATGGGATGCTTCATCAAGCTACTACAAATGTTCATAAATGTTCTATGATACTCTCGGACATCAACTCCCAAACCACACTAGCTCAAATCTCTCCTTCCACTCTTGCAGGAGCCCCTAGTAGCGTCCTTGCTCCTAGTAGCGATGCCAGGAGCCCCTAGTAGCTTCTTGCTCCTAGTAGTACGGCCAGGAGCCCCTAGTAGCGTCCTAACCGCTTCTTTGTTCACGATTCCACCATGCCAATACGACCTTCCCTAGTCCACCATCCGTCTTCACCTTTCAAGGGGCGTCACGAAGCGGTAGACCCCCGGCTGCCGTAGGAGGCGGATCACGAAGCGTCTTGCTTCGTTGAAGCTGAGGAAGTCCGCCACCTTGTCCTTGATCGGATCCGATCGCTGTAAGATGTGGACATCAGGGAGAAAGGAAGTGGGGCAGAGATGGACGGACATGGAGAGTGGAACACTTTCGGATCTGGCTGAGACACGAAGAGACTGACTGAGACCAAATGGTGGAGGAGTTTGGGTATGTTCGGGTTACCGTCTCCCAAACCCGTGTGGGCATGACAGGCTATTTGGGGAATGGGTATGGACTGTACCTGCATAGACGGGGTAGGAAGATTCTCTTGAAGAACTGATGCTCTCTTGGACGAGTCTTGTCTTTTTCTCAGGATGTGCTCACACACTACTTGCGATACCTCAACTACAGTCAAGTGTTCCTTGTAAGACGACCACTCTCACATGTGTCTCTTTTGAAAACAGTTTGGCCCCCGAGAATGCTTCCACTGTCAAATTGTGCACCCCATCTCTAGTGACCTTGCCAAAGGCGACCTAGCAAAGACAAGGCTCACACTTCATCAAAGGCGTGGCAACAACCACCAGAGTCTGAAGAAGAAGCTCAACTCAGACCTACTGCACTGTACAAAAATCAGCAAAAAATGACCCCTGGCCGCCACGCCCATGTCCGCCATACGAGCCATGTCTGCCAAAGGGCGATGAAGCCATCCTGTAAAAGGAGCCGCTTTGCGAAGCCTGCGCCGCGGGGGTCGTTGAGCACACCAGCCAGCCAGATCTCGATGCCCTCCGTCGCGCAGAAGTTCATCGCCTCAACCGTTTGGCTGAATGCTCTAGAGACCACGAGCGACGTCGGAGGACATAAGTTCATACTCAACCAACGATCCAACCATATCAAAAACCCAGAGGGAACCAAGCGGAACTCAAATACGCCTCTAAAGAAGTTGGTTTGGGAGCTTCTTCCAAGTGTTTCTTAGATTTTGCCGTCAGGCCACCCAGAGCTCGGCACCGGGTACCGCACATGCGCGGGCCACTGCCATTGGCAGCTCCTGGCGCCGGCGGTGGGCCCAGGCTGCTGAGGCCTCTGCCTGTGAGTGGCAGGTCGAGTGAGATCGAATGAGGTCGAGTAGGCCTCGGGGTGAGTTCTCAGTGAATTTGAACCCCACAAGATCCAAATGCTCGACTGTTATGTGTTGACTGCGGAAGTCGTGGTTTAATGAACAGGTATATAGCTCCTGTACACGAAAAAAAATCCCCCGATTGAGATTTGAAGAGGAAACTTGCGAGGCATCAGAAGAAAAACATTCCGGACAAATTGATTTTCTGTCCTTGAGAGGAGATTCCATACCAAAGCTCGGGGTAGCTTGTAGGTTAGATCTTTTGTATCTCGGTCAAGAATCAACGAGATTTGCGTCGAACTGAGTGGACGTACTGAGTGCACTGAGTAGCTACTGGGGCGAAGGGTTGATCCGGGGAAGGATGCCCAAGAATTCATGGACTCAATGGACCTGGTTTTGGGAAAGGATGAGTCTGAAAAAAGGGGTGGACATATCGTAAATTTCACATTCATAACCATGACCGACGCACAAGAAGACACGCCAATGCAAGAAATTCTTGCGAATAACGAATTGCATCGGCTAAGTACATCTGGCAGCTACGCTGCTGAACAGGTTGCTTTCGCATGGCCAAGGGGGAACAAGGCTCTCGTCACCTATCTTTGGAACAGTTGAAGTTGGTGTACGCGGCGTACGAGGTAACATGAATGGACCATCATCATCACCATCTACCTGCATGAAGCCTGGAATACAGTAGCTTCAAACAAACTGTGCATAGCTGCTGCATACATCCCGTCCCCCATCCAGTCGTGCTTGAGACGCCACAGCAAATGAATAGATAATAGAGGAACATTGTGAATGTTGGAAGATCCGAAGTATTGCAGGCTCTGTTGACCTCATAGATTGTTAGGTTCAAACATGTTCAAACTCACTGTCAGTGAAAGCTCGACTTCGATTTGTGGAGTAAACTTCGCACAGATTGCTCCCCTTAAACTTGAACAGCTACTGGCAAGCTTGCCGTAAAAGTGAATCAAGCCTGAGCTTCAAAGGAATGTCAGTGTGTACAAAATAGGAGCCAATGGGCTTTTGCTATCTTTTGCATAGTTTCCTTCTACAACGGTTACCAGAGATACCAGGGTCCAAACCAGGGTCGCATTGTTTTGAGCTTTCACCTTGAAGTTAATATGCCTACAAATGATCCTGCATACATGTCTGCCTTGGTCTTCAGGACCACACTGGCGACCAGCTTTGCCGTGGCTTTGTACTGAAGAAATCGCCTGGCAACACACTGCAAGATCCATGTAAACGACGTGTGCACCACACGTCAGGGCAGCAGGTATGGAATTTGAGTCAGATTCTGATCATGAATGTTCTTGCAACCTATAACTCCCGTTTCGCAAGGAAATGAGTGTTATCCGAATCAGAAGGACAAAGTCCTCTGTGACCCAAGCCCCTGCCCAACATCGCGATTTCGCAAAAGCGTGGCTCCCCATCTTTGGTGTTTTGATGACGCAGATCCCAGCTGCGAAGGAACCAATGGAACATGATCTGGCTGTAGTGGGGATTCCAGGCTTCGCTCGTAGGATCTTCCTAACTGACTTATAGAGGAAGTTCGGACTCGAGATCGGCCTCACCAAATGTGGAGGCACCGCGACGATGAAGCCTCGCTCGAGCTGAATGAAAAAAAGGTCTCCAGTGGCTGCACTTGAAGGAGGAGGGGACTTTGTGAACTGGTCTTGGGCAGTTGCAGTCATGTCACCCCCGCCCCAGATGCCCTCAACAGAATGCTAGGCAAGTATCAGTATCAGTATATAATTAGGTTCTCGATGCAAGGGTTGGTGCGGGAAGAACTAGGTGCGACCTCTAACAATTGAACATTACCATCAGGTCCTGCCTTTCTGCCATAGTAGAGAACAATATGAAACTTCCAAAATGCTAAGCAAGAGGCGCCGTAGAAAAGAGCCCATGCCTCTCCGCCCCAGGACAGTTCCAGCAAGGATCCGAGCAGTCTCCTGAAAGCTCCGAAACGAGGGGGTCTTTTCGGGATTCGGTCATATCTTGGCAAATCCCAGGCATGTTTCAGAGAGTCTAGGTCGACCAGCTAGGTCGGATGGAGACAAAAACCTGGATATACGAAAATCAAGACTCATCTGAAAATCAATGGAAAACCTGACTGCAAGAAGCCAATCCTGAGAATCACCGACAACATGCTGGGAAGAAACCAACTCGTGTCTTCAACCGGATGATCCGTCCAACCTGATTCTCGCGGCAAAGCTCCACCAAGGCGGTATCCAAATAGAGGACCTGCCACCCCCCCATTGAAGTTCCAAGATTCGAGGATCTGGGAACCCAAAATGAGAGTTCCATTGGTCGGGACTCTCCTACGCCCGTATGTCGATCAAAGGTTTTTTAGCCTACTACCTACTTATATAATACTAAGTAGATCCCTACTTCATTAAGGGCTAGGTAAGCGGACGCAGTATGGCTCATGCTCGCACTATTCATTCGTTTCCTAGATTCATCAAAAACTGGCTTATTGACCTTTCTTTTGACACCGAAGGTGGCACATGTTTCATTTAGTTTGATACCATTCAAAGGATGGCCCAAGCACGCTTGGTGTAATTTGCCCACAACAGGGCAAGTCTCATGGTTAGCATGTTGAACCACCAATCATCAAGCACAAAAACCTCAGGTTTGGCTCCGCAGCTTTCTGGTCCCACCCCGGTGCCACCATACGCTGATGTTGAGCAGGTGGGAAAGCCGAAGAAGTGACCTCAACCTAATTATGGCCTTCACTTGATAGGAGCCTATGAGTCTTGGATCAAAAGGGACCAACAACTGGTACTTGGAAAATCATACTGACCCTGACGCCTCTATTATCGTCAGCCAAGCTGCATTCACTACACCGCGCTCCACTCCGTCTGTTCGGAGGAAAACAAGCCTGAGGTTTCACGCTTCAGCCCAGATGAACAGCGCGAAGCCACCGCAGAGAATTTCGTAGGTTGCACGTTGCACCCAGAAAGACCCAAAATTGCACCATATGCATAGATATCAGGTGCAACATGGTGTTGGTGGTGAATGAAAGTAAGCGTCCCTAGCAGAGTAGATAGAAAAGGCAGCTATCAGCTATCCAAATCCCAGAGTTCGACTGCCTCCAGATTCAAACCAAGTTGTTCCAACTAAGACCCACAACTAGAACTGGCCAAGAGTCCAAAAGAAATGTTCCAGGGATGATAGTTTTGGTGACGTTTGAACGTTTGATCACCCAAAATCCCTGCCCAAACTTGCCAGAGCTGCATGGCTCGTCCAGCTTTCTTGTGGCGGAACAAGAGCTTCAAGAAACGCCCAGTGAGGACTGGCTTCAAGCACAGGACTAGCAAGCGCCACCGGAGCAAGCGACTCACCTCAGGTACTCTGAAGAAACCCAGCCCATTCCAGTACTCAAAGACAAATCAGATGTGATCTTTTCTTGAGCAGGACCCAATGTACCACGCCCACAAAAAGAATAGGAAATCAAGACTCTCAACAGTTGAGATGGTGGACCAACTGGAAGCTTTTCGCAGAATCTCAGGCGATTCGTCTGTGGCTTGCCAAGACTGTTTGCTCGATCGTATTGAAGGGCGTCAGCCAGTTGCTAATCCATGCACAACTAGCTGAACTAGCTGCAGTACAGTTGATAGTTTCTGTCATCCAAATGCCCAGAAGAGAACCCTGCAACCCAGAGGGCTGTGACCTGGCTATCTCCGACCCTCTGCACTCCCAACGTTTTTCATGGCGGCTTTCCTGCACCCCAGGTCACCAAGTAGGCCGTTGGTGCCCAGGAGAGCACACTGATCGCAGCCTCGGCTTGAGACCATGGGAACGATATCGTGTTACTTGAATTGACCTGGGGATTGCATCCACGCCAAATTGGAAAAGACGTCAAAATACAATGACCATGGATTCCTCAATAGTTTGGTCTTCCTGGATCCCTGGGAATCAAGAAACGACCAACAAAGTCCTAGACGCATGAGAAGTACACACAAAAAGAGTCATGTAGCATTTGGAGAAGAAGTTGCCATTTGTGTAGGGGAAGCTTTGGAAAGGCATCTCTTTCCACAAGCTCTTGGTTTCCTGGCGTTAGAACCCCAAGCTTGAAGGATGTTTCCTGGCATACACTCGCAGCCTTTCTGTGAAAAAAACTTGACGAGTCACTTCGCAAAGGCACAGCTGAAGGAAATGCCCTGCACCTGGGCCATCCGGCCAGTGGAATGTCTCAAAAGCTGGAAAAATATCCATCAACGGCTTCCCCAATTGGACCTGAAATACCTCATGCCAGAATCTGCTTGAGCCAGCATCTCTTCAATCTTCATGTCGCCAAGGCACGGGCACGGCGGCCAGATCTTGGCCAATAGACCCAACTCCAGCTGTCTGGGATTTGAAGATCTTGTGGCTTCACATCCTGCAAACATGCTGACAGGATCTCAAAAAACTTGAAAAGGCAAACTTTTTTCAGGACTCTTTAGAGACTCTAGTGTGGTGAAGGAACTGGAGGCCATTCTTGCATCGGTTTTTGGAATCCTTCAGTTGATGACTTTCTTTTGAACTCTGACTGCTCAAGACTCGAGACTCATGATTTTTTCGCACTCGTTCTGCACCAAATCAACCAACACGACATAACGCGACAGTGTGTTGCCTGAAACAACTCGACCAGCTGAGCCGCACCATGACACCGGTCCGGTAGTGGTCCTCTGGTACAAAACTCCCACCAAAGACCGCCGCAGATGGGGTTGCGAGCCGGTCCTCAGAGCGTTCTTTTCAGGCCGAAGTGTTTCAGGGGAAGCCTTGGGGAGGCCCCAAGGCATTGGAGACACTTTCGGGAAACGTTCTGTGTTGTTTGCCCCACCCTGCACATGTGTTGATATGTTGAACCGCAAAAAATGCATGTCCAAAAAGGTGTACAATGAAGCAAGTTAACGCCTTATGCAAAACAACAAGGTGAATTCAAACCAGAACTTGTTACGGACAAAACCCCTTTCATGTAAACTGCCAATGCCATTCCGCGCAACTATGGCAATTACACCGGCGTAGACCCCAGATAGCGGGAGTATAGGGAACACTGCCTGAGAGAAAAAAAGTCTAATAGCCCACACCAGCATGCCCCAAGAAAACACCGATCCAGCACCAGCACCCGCGCGAGCACCTGCACCAGCACGCCCAAACAAAACGCCGATCCAGCACCAGCACCGGCACGGGCAAAACGAAACGCCCATCCAGAACCACACCATTGAGAAGTAAGACCTGTATTTTTTGGAAGCTTGCCTGCTCTTCAATCTGGGATTCAACTCAACATACCCCTCACCAGAACTGTGTCCACGAGCTTTCATTCCCGAGAAAACACAACACCGCTCAGGGTTTCGCTTGTTCAGATGAATTCATAGACCGCCGGACATGCACAGGTACAAGCACTTTTCGGAGTACGAACGGGCATGGGGTCGTTGTACCCGGTGTGATCTAATGAACTGCAAACGAGGGAAACATCTCTTCACGCGCCTCATCGGCGAGCATCCACAAAGAGCAAGAAGGATCTAATACCCTCTGAACCTAGGCCCTCCATGCCCATTTTGCGACCCGCTCCCGATCGAGGCTGAGGTCCCTTGGCACTAACCGTGACCCAGCCTCTCCCGTGATCAGTTAGAGGGAGCGCCCGAGGAGTTCGAATTGGTCGCAACACAGTGGATAAACGCACAGCACTGCACTGCAGGGCACTGCACTGTATAGCTGCAGACCTGCCGATACAGTGGACGGGTCTTTCGTCAAACAGACTAAACTTCCTGTGATCAGGTTGAATCATGCCTACCTACCGATAGGCTTTCCTTTCACAGCCTGCACGCGCCGAATCGGGCAACAACAACTGATCCTATTTGTTTGTTCTTTTGGGCCACCTCGAACCTCTGCGCCGGAATCCAACCATCACAACCGACCAAGCTAGTGATCCGGCACTCACTCCTGAACTAATGGCCCCAACGCCGAGCCCTATTGAACATCTTCAAGAGTTGCCTCCCAAACCTTCTTAAGGAAATGGGGACACTGATGCGAGCTGCACTGGCATGATCTTTCAGGTCTTTCTCATACAAAGGCCAACGCTGACAAGCGATGGGGCCTAGGATTGGAAAGCCTTGCAAAGCAAGAGCAAGTCAGACAGGCTGTGACAGGCAAGAACTTGTTGACCGGATGGCAAACATCAAGCATCGCATAATACAAGGCAACGTGACAAGCGAGGCCGACCTGTCAGGGTTGATCATCAGGCGCCCCGTGAAGGAGGCGTCGCAGGTAGGGATCATTTACTTGACTCGGCCAGCGCTCGGTCTGAGGAAGAGGAAGGAGTTGGGTGGCGCGTGTTCCCAAAACGCGAGCATCAAGCCGATTGGCGGGCAGCACTGCTGGGCCAGCAGCTAAGTTATCAATGGCTCGAGCGCGAGAGAGAGAGAGAGAGAGAGAGAGAGTCAACATCGACCTCACCACATAGCGTGAGGACTGTCGAGAGCCCATGCGATGGAAGTCCAGGTTGGCTACTGTGTGCAACAGTGGCTTGCAAGCGCCTCTTTTGTGTTGGTAGCCCGCGGCCTCCTCAGCTTTCAAGGCTGAGCGAGCCTGCCGATGAAGAGGTTGCTCTTCATGACCTGCAACTGTGCGGAGACCAAACTATATAAGCGGAGAGCTCTGGCGAACTGCTTACACAACCGAGCTGGGTAGACTTGAGCAAGCTTGGTGCACTTTCCTAGCGAGGGGTGAATTTCCTGGCGAGCGTGCCAATCTCTCGCCAAAATGGCATCAACGATAGTACTGACGATAGTCACTCAAGAAATGACTAGACTCGAAACGAAAAGATAAAGCACACAGAACAGTTGTGGGGGTAAGTGATCCAGGTGTCCCAGACCCACCGTAAACACCTGACCACATGATTTTACTCTCTCACTGGACCGGGACCCAAGCAAACCTACTACTTCCATCCAGCTACACCAGTCCAACGGTCTTTAAACACATTCAAGCTCTTCCATCCTTCCCAGAATCCTTCCCTATCCTCTCTTCTCGCACCCTGCCAGGACTCATCCAGCAAGCGGGACAGATCGGAATCGGTGAGATGTTCTAAACCTGTCAACTCATCAGGCAAGAACGGGGGAAAATGTTCCCACCAATCCAGAAATCCCACCAGGTTGTAAGTGGCTCGGAGGTAGGACAGGGCAGAACTGTGCTTCAAGGGAGAGCGGCCACAAGGATTTTGTGGGAGCCGCTTGTAAGTGTGCGCCTGTACAAAACAATCGAGCTTGCATCCCAATGCCAATATTCTGCAAAGACCCCCTCTCAGCAATGATCTCAGTTCTGTCGTCGTGGAAACGCAGCCCAGGCACGGCGAGCGGCTCGTGCCCATTTCCGCACACTCCAGGTGCTCGGGTCATCATGCTCGAAAAGCAACGCGCTCCAACCTGGTGGGCAAATAGAGATTGTGTTTGTTGTGGTGAGATGCTGACTTCACAGGCATTGGATGCCCTGGTGCTGTTTCTGTATATCCAGCTGAATAATGGAAAAGCTGATGTTAGTGATCAGAGATTTTGGACCCACCACACGATTGCCATAACACAACTTGGGTGGAGTGGGCCCGTTCAAGCTTCAGAATAACATGAGGACGCTATTTTGTTGGAGCATGCAGCAACTTACAACTTGTTTGTGCACGTCACGACTGTATGTGCAAGGGAGGTCAGGCTCGTGCAACTCATACACTTTGGAATGAAGGCCGGAGAATTTCATGCGAACAAGAAGCTACTAGGGGCTCCTGGCATCGCTACTAGGAGCAAGGACGCTACTAAGGGCTCCTTGGCCTTACTACTGGGAGCAAGAAGCTACTAGAAGCTCTCTCCCGTTGTCGTGAACCTTCACAAACTGAGACTCTCTGAGGACAGAAGGCCGGACCAATTCGTCGGGCAGCGGGAGACGAAGCGCCCTCGGTTGACCGCGCGTAGCAGGAGATCGCTTTGCGGGCTGCAGCTGACTTGGATGAACTCCTGGAAGTCGATCTCGCCTCCGCGCCCAGTAGTCATCAGTCGGTTGGAATTCATCAATGACTCCTTCAGTCGTGAACAAACCAACTGACTGACCCCACCCACGCGCCATCTCCATCTCGGTCGAGGTCTGCCACGATGCTGCGGACTCGGCCTCAAACAGAAATAGAATCTTCCAAAACCCTGTAACTGGAGACTCGATACAAATGCTGGGATTATGGTCTTTGGTGCTTGGATCTAACCCACCCGCCCGATGACCGACGGATGCTGTTTTCCTGCATATATATGTATATTATATATATATATTAATACACCTAATTATATGTAACTGCATGCCGCCATATTCTTTCGTTACTCCAAGATGAGCATAGGTATGGCGAGGCTGCGGATGACTGGTGTCAACAACACACACCAATTGTCGAAGTGTCCACCAGTTGGGTGGCTGCGGCGATTCGTCAGGTGAGGCTTATCAAATGGATAGCACAGCAAGCCCGAGGGTGCAAATGTTGATTCCTGTTTTGTAAGTTAGGATTCAGCAATGCTCCACAGTGCAAAGCAAACATCAATTAATTAAGATTGCACAATTTATGAGATCTTGCTCTTAAAGGAGATCCCAAGAAGTCACCTAATACCAAGAACGCGGGTTTTGAGTTGGAAGCCAGGATCCTGTTGGAGGGCCCGCAAGTCCTGGCATTCCGGCAACCCCACTTTTTTGTGACTGTCCAAGACTTTGAAACAGGAAAAGCAGAAAGGCTGACGGTCTTCCCTTTGCAGAGGCACTCTACTGGCAGCCAAGTTCCCCCCCACGCTAGAGCTGAACACTCAACTCAACCTGGATCTTCGCTCAGCAGGAAAGTGTGCATAAAAGTGAAGGCCCAGCAGGTGGCGACCATGTCCACATCACATCACATCACCTTTTCTGCTGGGCTTGTTGTCTCCACCAGGGGGTGAGAGCTGCCACGGCTATCTGATCCTCCAAGCCACTGAGGTCTGTGGTGATTCCCAGAACTCGAAGCGCGCTTAACAGCTCCTGGAAATCTGAGACAAGCAGGCCGAGCTAGATTCGATATGATCTTCCCAGATCGGCTTGCTTAGGTAGGCATGAAGAGTCCACAAGAACCTCTGGAATTGAAGGCGTGAACAATTCCTCCACCAAATCCATAAGATACCTTGTTCGATGCGGTCGATTCCGAAGCCATCTTGAAGACACGTCGAACCCTGACGCGCTGCTAACATCCCCTGATGGTCCTCTGGCACCGTCCCAAACCCTCAACTCTTTTGTAAGACAGATGCTGCTCCCCGCGTTGAGCTAGAGATGTGCCTCAAATATGCTCAGATGGTTTATATTTATGTCAGTTTAAGAGGTGAAACTACAATAAGAGGATTTTGAAGGTCAATGCCTTGAACGCCTCGGGTCGTCGGGCACCTGGGGTCCTGGACCTCGCCCACCCCATGGTCTCCTGGGCGCTGATCTTGCCATTATCGTCGGCATCTGCCAGCTCGAAGACCTCCCGCAGCTCGGAGCCTGAAGAAAGCCGAGAAAGACGACTCGACGACCGTTCTGTCCATTTGTGCTGGTTGGCTTTTGCTTCGGCGATGGGTCTTGATAGCTCTGGCACTAAACATTGTTTTTGGCGTTCAAAGTTGAAACCTGTCATTCTGCACAACTGTTCAGTTTGGCCTCTCCTGGTGTTTTTTGCTTTTGATGACCACCCTCCTCTGATCTCCTCTGCACTTGCGTTGACTCCATGACCTACTAAACCCTTGGTCTGGCAGAAGCCTGGCACTGGCCATTGGTCCTTCAAAAGCTATGATTTTGGATGATTTTGGCAACCTCACAATCTGCATGTCCACTGCCACTTTGAGAAACACTCTGAGGCCCTGGCGAAGCTCCTCTGGCGCGCGCGACTCGCCGCCACGCGCACCAAATGTGCGAAGCGGCCGGCGGCGAAGAGCCGCGCTCCTGGCACGAAATCACTTAACACCCCTGTCCCTTTGATTTGGTTGAATTCTCGCGAACTGGCCCAGCCAATAAGACATTTACGTAAATTTCTACTGGGCAAACGGGACATTGATGCCATACAGCCATACAGCCATAGCTTCTACAGTATATACATGTATATACAAGTATATATACATAGATCATAGATCATAGATGTGTCTCAGCAATGAAGGACGCTCAAACCGGCTCCATTGGCCTCCTACTGTGTCAATGAAAACAGGCAGCCTTAAATCGGCCCAACCTCGCCTGGCGATCCCGACCGCAAGAACTCCAGACCCCAGGGACCAGTGCGACCTGCTAGGAACTGCAGGGAAAACGATAGAACGATCTTCCATCAACAAAACCATCTTGGGCTTTGCATCACCTGCTATTCAAGCAGTTCCCGTTCAATGAATGTCCAATTGATTGGACACAACCACAAGTAAAGCTCAGCACAATGTAGAGCTTCGCCATGCAGCAGGCATTGTCATGACAGGTGACAGTCTCCCTATCAACCAGTGCCAGCAAATCTTCACAGTGCTCTTTCACAGAAAAGGGAGAAGAACAGCACAACCATGCGTGCGTACCTTGTCACATCGGCCAAAATAACTCCTAGTAAACCCCAATTCTTCAAAATTCTTGGTGCTATGATTTCTCATACCTTCTGAAGTGGTGCTCCAGATTCAGAAAGAATCTTCATGAATCTTCTGGCCGACCTCTGCCTTCGCGTCTCGTGCACATAGCCCTCGGGCGCCCATCTCGGCAGATCGAGGCTCGTCGTGGGGCGCCATGGGGTCGGGCGCATCCGGTGCGGGTGATGTTTTGATCCATGGACATTGGGAGACTGTGGCTGCCTTTGACCCAACGACGCCTTGGGACGTGCAAAAAGCTCAGGCGCATCTGCGCGGTCCTAGTGGCTTTGGTTGTGGAGCTCCAAAAGAATGGGAGAGTTCGTAGTCTCTTCTCCGACACACGTTTGTTTGTGGGATGGTTCTTGCATGTTTGAAGCATGAGGTTCTCAAATGGTTGCCATGGATTGAGAACAGTAAGAGCCCAGCCAACCTGATTCCGGTGCAAAGAGAAGTGCAGCAATCCCACCAGTCAATAGTCCTGGTTGAATGGGTTGTTGACGGTCATGGAACCGAGCAGCCTCAAAAGCTGATTCGTCTAATCCACCGAATGTAGAATAACTCATGTCAGTACTGAGCCCTTTCAACCGGTCCTCTGACCCCAGTTGAGCCAAAGCTTGAGAAAGCCGCGGCCAGACTGTTGGCACATGGACAAGATGGTGTGGAGAAGCACAAGGTCCAGGAACATTTGCAGAGCAATGCAAATCTTATCTCAAACCTTCACTTGCACAGAGCATGAGCCATTCACAAACAACCAAAAGTCTTAGAATAAGGAGTTGGTTTGGGGCGGTCGGCAAAGGAGGCTCAGCCACCAAGGCTAGCCCGATCATTGATTTATATAGTTATATACATATATATATATATATTTACATATAAAAAAAAAGGCTACATAGTTTTTGCTAACAGCAATATCAACCCGCGTGGGAATAGCGTCTCTGTACAAACTGGATCTCCCTGATGATGTCGAGTCTGAGGGTCAGAGTTCGACACGGACACAGTCTAAGCGGTTTTCGTGAACCAAGGAGCCTGTTTCAATCGGGGTTGCCTCCATTGAGTGCGTTCCCACAATGGTCCGAGTAAACCTGTACTGACTGTACTGTAGCATCTTTGAGGTGGTTCCATCGACTATGTTCCTCTCCCATGGTGGTTGTGCCACTTTTCCGACCAAGCACTGGAGGTTGCGCAGCAAAGCGCTTCTCACGCTCAGGGCCTCGCAGCAAGTCGGTGTTCACCGAGACATTCATGGGTGTGTTTCGAAACAAACCACCCAAACCCCTCACGACCGTGGGATTGGCAGCTTTACCTTTTGTACATACCCATGGCAAGGATGGAGGAATACAACAGTCGAAAATAAGGCAACCTCCATGCGGAACGACTCCGAACGCCAAGGAGGTGTCATAGTGACAACATGAGCACTCCCCAAGTCTTTCACGTCTTGGCGGGCCACAACGATTCATAGATGTTCAGAAATTGATATGTGAGTGGCTGATAAAATCAACAGTTTTCGATGTTTGTCCCCGAAAGCAACTGCGAATGGTTCCTCGCAAAGAAAAACTGCCCACTTCAACTGTCTAACTATCATCATCACACTTATCAACAGCATCATGATCATCATGCAACTGCTACAACACATCCACATCTTCATCAACATCAGCATCACCATCATCATCATCATCACCATCATCATCATCTCCATCATCATCATCATCATCATCATCTTTTTCTTTCATACGCTCATCGGTCGATGACTGCGTGGACCGTGTTGGTCCCACCTGGGCCCCGTGGGGCCTTCCTCAACTTTCAGTTGAAGTTCTTGTCGAGGAGTCTCGCCAAGGTGGAGGCCTTTGCCTCCATCTGTTGATGGGACCGCAATGCCCTATGCAGCATTGCGAACTGCCTCAGGCAGGGACAGCAATGGTCTTCACTCATGCCAATGCTGTGAAACGGTTGGCAAGCACACCATCTGGTGGGGTGCGCTTTAGAGAGGAAGCTCACTGCACATTGTTCTGCCAGGGAGCTGCTGTCTTCCCACAAGGAGCGATGCGCCACCTGCATGTGTGAGTTCAGATCACGAGGCCAACTTCCACATGTGATGCACTTTTTCACCAGCCGGTGGCAAAGTCGAGGATGGTCCACCAGCAGATCCGTGTCCATCAGGTCCAGCCCTTGCAGCCATTTGCTGTGCCATTCGTCATTGATGGACGGGTCATGGATGATGTTCTGCACCTTCTCCTGGTCCGTCAGGATGGGCGATTCGTCAGAGAGGGCAGAGACCTCCTCTGCACCTCCATGTGGTGTGCAGTTCAACCAAAGTAGGCAGCAGTTCTCCTGGGCCACCAGTGGGAGCATAGAGAACTTCACCGGCATGTTGTCGTCGTCATAGACCCACCATGAGTCACCGTCCTTAATGGCCGTGTTATAGTGTCCCGAAGAGGCCTCTGATCCCAAGTGGTAAGAGACGCCAAGGACAAGGAACGGGATGTGGTCGACCTCCAGCTTTGAGTTCAGGAAGTATGGCAGCCACACCTTAGAATCCCATGTCAGCCGAGTGTGACTCTTCCGCCCCGTGGAGTCAAAGCGGTCAATGTGCAGGCATGTGACGTCTGCTGGTTCAGTGAGGGCGTGTAACCCGAAGGATGCAAGGCTCCAATTGGAAACAAGACCTTGTAGGTCGATCGGCAGGGTGCTTTTTTGCTCGCTGCAGATGTAAAGTCGTAGTGGGCACCCTTGGGCATTGTGGTCCACCACCTTCAATTGACCTTCGTCCTCCAGCCTGCTTTCCCAACAACAGCTGAGAAAAAGAGGATTGGTTTGTTGAAGAAGATGGTGAGCAAAGTCAACCACATCATGTTGCCGAAAAGGATTGGGCCAGTTGGCCAAGAGGGTGGTCCACTGCCCATCCGCCCATAAAAGCATGGACTGCCCTTTGGACACATCTGCAAGGTCCCCTAATGCCCCGAGGAAGTTGGACCATTGGTCCTCCTTCAAACCATTGGCCTTGAGTGCACTCCAGGCTAAGCCAGTGGCCGCTGAGTTCATGTAGCAGGCGGCAGCAGGATTCTGAAGCGTCCTCAATGGAGGTGACGTGGATGCCATCACATTTGTTCCAGCATCTTGCCTACTTGTTGGGCAAGTGGTGTGCGATGAGAGCTGGCCGGGCGCATCCGTCCAAGCACTAGTTGCCAGAGTCCTGAATGACTGAGTTGGTGCCAGAGTCCCCTCATCTCGTTGGCGTGGGTGTGAACCAGGGCCAGTGTGATCCGCCAGGGAATGATGGCTGACGGTGCCTCCGTGTCCGTGGTCATGGCCTTCTGGATCTGCTGTTGGGGACGTAGGGCTCCGAATCTTTTGATCAGTGCTTCTTGCTGGAGCAGGGTGAGCATCCTGGTCACTGTCTGTGTGGCTTGTTCCATGGTCAGGGGCGTGTCCTCCTGAGCCTCCATCTGCTGCTTCTGGGAATTCCACCTCATACGTGGAAATATGAATGATTCTCCCTTCTCGGGCTCGGGCTGCAAGAAGTTCAGGCGCAGCAATGTCTGGATCAAGGGATCGGAGGAGGCCGTGGATTGAAGTTTCTGAATCCTCTTCAACAGTTCCTCCAGCAGGGTTTTCAAGACCAGGATCCGGAGTGGATGAGTCCTTTCCGCAGTTGGAGTCTGCTGCCAAGTCTGCGTCTGGGCCATCATGCTGGGAAGAACTGAGCCTGGTCCCGCGCTCAAAAAAAACGAAGAAGTCCGTCTCCATGGCCAGGCACTGAAGCGTGTCTTCGTGTCGAAGGACGAGGCGGGTCAGCGCATTCAGGAGTGTTCTTGTATCTGGTGTGGACTCGTCCTTGATGTTCTGGGTCTTCCCCTGCCCTTTTTTTCCTTTTCCTTTTCCCTGGCCCTTCGCGCCATTCGACATGGAAGATCTCGGGCGCTTTGCCGTCTGCTTGTCCTCGTCCACCTCCATCTTCACCCACTGGTTCAGGGCCCCCCACATCTCTGAGATCTGGTTGCCCTCCATGTCCATGATGAAGTATGGCGAGAAGGCTGGCTAGCTGCAGGAGCACTGGGCACTGTGCTGCGGTTGGGTGACAGTTGCAAACTGAACACTGTTGCTGCCTTTTTTGATAGAAGGACAGAAACTTGTAAAACAGCCCCCCACGGTTTCCATGTTTGGCATGGTTGTTCCAAAGATGTTGAAGCATGTCTCTGGGGTCAATCTGCCGTCCACATAAGCAGCACCAAGTACTAAGGGCTGTGCAGAGTGTGCCATCACCAAGAAGTTCGTCAAAGACTCCCGTGGCAAGAAGGCTGTCCATGTGTGGAAAGTTCATGGCAATGGTGGGGCTGAGAACTTGTAGGTCCAGCTTCAGTGCGTGTGCCAAGATGAGCTCATCGCTGGCATCCTTCAGTTTGTGCAGGTCATGATGGACAAAGAGGGCCAGTTGAGTAAAGACCGTGCATACATGTGGAGTCGCCGGAGGCCGAAGACAGGAGCAGCCAAGGTTCCTCAGAGCACTGTCTGTTTGAAGCCATTCAGCATACGTGGTTGCCATAGTCCATGATGTAGAGTGAGCCGAACTGAGATGCTTCAAAAGAGAGGATGAACTGGATGATTGATGTCCACAAAGGCCACAAATGTAGCCCAGCCTCCGAATCAGTGACTTGTAGGCAAGTAAATGGTCAAATGTGCCCCCATGAAGCCCAGAGATGACCACTGGATGGTGCCAAAGTAGCGATGGAGCATCCGGTAGTGGTTCAGGACATTGACCTCCATCAATGTGATGCCTTAGTGCTGCAAGACAAAGGAAGGAGGCCTCGCAGTGTGCACATTGCGTCAGCCCAGGAACTTGATCCCTGGATGCAAGGAAGGTCCTGGTCAACGTGGAGTGAGCATGCTCCATGGATTGATGTTGATGAAGTCCTGCGGCAGTCACGAATTTCCTGGGACATTGAGCGCAAGCAAATTGAGCATCCATCCTCTGCGGAGGTTGTGGGACCGGTGGTGGACATGCCGGAAATTGTGCACGGTGTTTCCGGTATGCAAGAGCAAGTCCCAGCTGTTTCTTCACAGGGCATGTGTGCGTTTTCGATCGAAAGTCCTGCCCACACAGTTCACATGGTGAGTTGGTCCGGGCCCTGATCACATTGGGCAGAACCTCCCCCATCAGCGCATAGACATCTCCATGATCTCGACCCATGTGTGCAGACATTTGCTGCAGTCTCGAAGACCAAAAGCCACAAAGAATGCACCGTTGGGTCAGAAAATAGCAAAGTCCTCGATCATTGGCCAGAGGGGCCAGGTCGCCATCGTCGAAGTACTCCAGGAGTTTTTGCCTGTGTTGTTGAAGAACTTCTGGTGGTGCCTTGGTCGAGTCAAATTCGGAGCAGGAGAGAGTGTGAATGTGGTGTCGGAGGTTTTGCCAGCTAATGAAGGTTTCGCCACAGTGCCGACAGGTAGGTTTCCCATCAACCGCATCTCTAGCTATATCCAGCTTGGGACCCTCAGCATGTAGAATGCCGTGAACATGCAACTCGTGTCTCCTCAGTGTATATAGATGTTGAAAGGTCAGCCCACAGTGCGGACAATCAAGTCCTGCCTCCGCCAGGGGGAGCTTGGGTTGCAGATCCAGTTCTCCAAGGTCCTGAAGCCAAGAGTCTGTGAGATGAATAGAGCTTTGGAGTGCGCTGAGGTCAAGAAGGTGGAGTATGTCATGCTCTTGAAGTGAGGAGAGTCTGTCCTCATGCCGCTTCAATTGAGAGGCCATCCGCTCCCTAAGGGAGAGCACCGGGTGGCGGAGTTGGTGCTCTGTCAAGAAGTCCATGTGAGTGGTATGTGTCATGTAGGAATGGTCTCCTGCGGCCTGTCGAAGCATGGACGTCATGTTCTTGGAGAACAAAGGAATGGAGGTGTGATCGGTTCCAGTTGCATCCAGTCCATACACTCCTATTGGAAAAATGCATGTTTGCCATAGAGCCACCTTCTGAGCCGAGTGCATGCCATTTTTCGAAAACCACTTCTGCATTTGTCTGAAACGAACTTTGCATGCTTGAAGCCGAGCTTTCATGGTGTCCCTTTGAAAATTGTTGTATCCCATCTGAACTCCCAAGTATTCGTGCTTCTCTTTGATCGGAATTTCGTGTGAGCCCCGTCTGCTTGTGGTATACAGAGTGCTGAATGGTCAAGCTTCTTTTTCACAAATTGCTGCCTGGCTTGTTTCTGTTGTTTGCCTCCCCATCGTAAGATGACGGCGGATTTCTTCATATTCACGGTCATGCCCAGCCGTTCAAGGACAGAGATAACGGTGCCAAAATATTGAAGGCCTTGTTGAAGTTCTGCCATGGTCTGAAAAACAAAGCAGGCATGACCGTCATCTGCATAGAAGGTGCAGCATTCACGCATCCAATCTTCGGAGGATTCGTGCGCTATCAGGTTCAACACCAGTGCAATGAAGCTGGCCCAAAAAAAGGGGGCGCCCCGGCAGCCTTGCCTCACACCTCTAAAGGTGGATTGTTCAGCAGAGATTCCTTTCCATTGAATCACATATGAGGTCTGGGTGTGCCATGTCATCAGAAGGGAGATGAGATCATGGGGAAGACCAATGAGTGAAAAAGCTGAGTAGAGGTGCTCGCGAGGCATGGCATCAAAGGCTCCTGTGAGATCGAGAAAGAGCTGACACCCTCCAAACACTTGAGGACGTTTTGTCCCGTCAACTGACCTCTGATTGGCGTCATATCGCCATCGGTGATGAAGAGCTTGGACCTTCCGAACGTGTGCTTGAACCCGGGTGATTGCTTCCCATGTTCCTCGTCCCGGGAGGTATGCAAACTGTGGATACCAGGTCAAAGTTGGCAGTGAAAACTTCCTTGCTTCATGAACAAAAAGTGACATGACCGTCTTGGAGAGCGGAGTCTGAAGAGCGATTGGACGAAGCACTTTTGGTTCAACCGGTTGTTTGTTCGGTTTGGGTAGAAGGACAACCCAGCCTTTCCGCCATTCGTGAGGAATGAGCCCCCAGAGCATCCATGTTTTCACCCATTCAAAGACAAGTGACCCAATAGAGGTGGCCAGCGCTTTCCAGACGAAGCTCGGAGCCACGTGAGGCGGAACACTGGTGCGTCCATAGAGCGCCTGCAGTCCCTGAACAAGGTCCGATGCCTCAAAGGGTAGAGCAGTCAATTGGAAGGGTTGAGCTGGAAGATCAACTCCTGCATAAAGATTGCCCATGTACTCTTGGATCCAGCTCAGTTCCTCTTCCGGTGACATAAGTTGACCAGCATGACGTCGGAGATGAGGACGAGATGGTCGGGATTTGGGTGTGAGAGAGTTCACCACCTTGAAGTACTTGTGGGAGTCGTTGTTGCTCCAGTGTCGCCTGGCTTGTGCAATTGTCTGAGCCAGCTTGTCTTTCTTGGCATCCCTAGCTTTTTGGTTCGTGGATCGTTTCCAGGTTTGAATTCTGACCACTTTGACCCATGTGCCAAAGAGCTGTTGAAGTCGACTCGAGAAAGTGGGCTTCCGAGCCACTTCCGGAAGAGCAAGTCCTGGATGTCCGTTGGCCCAGGTCCAGAAGGTTGGTGAGGGGCTTCCAAGCTCCAAAGTAGGTGGTTTGAAGTTCTGACATCCTTCTAGGAGTGCCTGGTTGAGAGCCTCAAGGTCTGGGCCACCTTCCCTAAGGCCAGTGATGACCTCTTCCAATGAGGAGCAAAGCCCTTGCCACTCTTCACTGTTCGAGTCCCAGTGCCGAAGGAGAAGTTCTTGTTGCCCACGAGGAAGCCCAACCGGCTTGGAGTTCCAGGCCCTCCATTTGTAAGGAACGGTGAAGAGAATGGGCACGTGATCCTTGGTGTGGCCAAAGCGTCCGGGCAGATCCTCCAGGTAGATGGTTTTTTTGTGAAGGAGTCACTGGACTTGTGACGAACCATGATGTAGTCAATCCGGGATTGTCGGGCCAGTCCACCAGTGTAGGTGGGTCCAAGGGATGTGTCCCAAGTATTGATAGCGGTAAGCCCATGCTGGGTGAGGAGGTGACCAAGCTTCCCAGAATCAGGATGCCGTGGTCCAGCCTTCCTTCCCTTCTGGTCCTGAAAGTCGTGGAGCCCCACACAGTGTGGTATGTGGGGAAGGCTGGTGTTGAGGTCGCCTCCCAGGATGACCACGTTCCGTTGGGGAAGACCGGCAAGGAGTTGATCACAGGCATGAAGGAGTTCCCCTCGATGTTGAAGACAAAGAGGATCATGTTGAACCCACGCGTGTTGATAAAGGTTGAGAAGGTCAATCCCCGAGGAGGGTAGATATAGTCGAACGTGGAGAAGCCTCCCAGGAAGAGTCTCCCGCCAGGAGATCCGGTCAACTGGGCAAAAGCTTTTCCTGATGATCACCATCAGTCCACCCGTTTTGCCCCTTGAGCCACTGTGGACATAGGCAAAGTGAGAGTCCTGCCAGTCACCGCTGAACCCCCACCGGGTGTCCTGAAGAAGAAGAACATCGAGGTGTTGAGAGCGCATCCACTGCCTCAGGATGTCAAACTTATAGGAGCCCAAGGAGCAAATGTTCCAGCTAAAGCCCGTGAGGCGGTTTTTCCTGACTTTGGCCGGAGGGGCCACATTGATCTTCTGCTTGTTGTGGTGACCTTGGTCGGCCAGGGGTGCTGGTAGTTGTTCGGTGCCAAGCATGGCTGCCGTGAAAAGCTGACCTTTGTACCATGTGTGTCCATGAAGCTGGGCTCGTTTGAGCGCACGAATATAAGCCTTCTTTTTGTGTTGAGGTTTGTCCGAATCCAGGTGTGCTGATTGAGGTCCTGTGCCACTTGGCTTCGCCGTAGAGAGGGTGTAGAAGGCCCGAGATTGGATGGCTTCACTGGGTCGTGTGGCTGACCCAGAACCCTCAGGCCACCAGGGTGGAGCTTGGGGATCCAAGGCACTCTTGTGGTCCACGATGTAGGCCATGATGAGGCCTGACAGGCAATGAACAAAGAGGCCAGGTCCAACCCTGGCCGGGGACTTGGGACCCCGGTGAGCTTTGCTGCTCGGTGCTGCGTGTGTCCGTCGCCTCTGTGGCCTAGTCCTTTGCCAGGTGCAAGAAGAGCTGAGGTGGTAGAAGGCCTTCTTCCGGAAGAGCCAGAAGAGGGAGGCGGCCACAGTCACAAGGGACAGGAAGTAGAACCAGAACAGGTAGAGGCCGGCCACCTGGAGAAAGTGAGCTTGTCCTCTGTGTTCTGCTGGTAGGTGGGCAAAGGACCGGTAATCGAGGATCTCAAGGATCGAGGCGGTCACCACAGGGTTGCCCATGGAAGGAAAGATCGTGACCGCACTTCCCCCGCAGCACCGTGGGGATGGGGGTTGAGCCGCTCATGGCCCTCATCATCATCATCATCATCATCATCATGATCAACATCAACAACAACATCATCATCATCATCATCCTCATCCTCATCCTCATCCTCATCATCATCATCATCATCTCTGACACGCCTACATAGATAGAGGTGTTGGGGCACAGGTAGTGAGATACAGGTGTTGAGCTACAGTGCTACAGGTGTGGAGATACATGGGGTAGGTGTTGAGATGCAGGTGTATAGACACAGGTGTTGAGATACAGGTGAAGACTCCTACAAACTCATCTACACAACTACAACTTCAACATCCTTCTAATCTTCTCTTAAGGCGGTGGGGTGGCCCGGCCGATGTTCACGAAACGCGACTTTCTGCGGATGGGAGATCGCGTCGGAGCCCACAGAAACCATAGAGAGTGGAAGCCTGTGGCAAAAACACTCATCAGTCTCTATGTGTACGCGTCGATCAAAGACAGGTATCTGTCTCATTGGCACCTTTGCAGTACAGGTGTAGTGCGAGAAGCAGCTTCTGGGACCTGTGGCCTCAGCACTGTGTCGGATGATTGGTGGCGCGGCGTCGCATGGCTGCGTCTCGTCTGTGACACGCGGCGCAGCGAAATTACATCCATGATGTCGCTGTGCCATGCAGACTGGCTCGTGGTGGAATGCATTTGCGTGTGTCCATGGGAAAAGGAAACATGTTGGCGTAAACGCGGCGTGTCGCTGGTGAGCGGGATGATTGGTGGTGTGGTGTAACGTGCTTGCGGCGGTCTTTGACACACGGCGGCAAAACTACGCCCTTCTCTCCCTTATCTTGGCATTGGCACCATTGTGATCATCATCACTATTATCACCTGTCGTCGTCATCATCGTCAACATCATCTTCGTTGCAATCCTCATCCTCGTCTTTGAACATGTTCGGGTATTTTGCGGCCAACAAAAGTGGAGAGGTCAAGTACAAGATAGCATAGTATCGCTACTCTCGACCAGGCTTTTGATGTCAATGCACAAGTGGACGATGGGTGGCTCTCAAAATAATTGGGGACCTTAAAGACCATCAGCAACTCGTATATCTAAAAATATCGTAAATATATAACATGTCTATGTGTTAATTATATTATTTTATGTGTTAAGTTAAGTTTCCCCATAAATCTAGGAACCAAATGATTAGTGTGAACGCTTCTTCAAGGAAGCTCCCCCCAGCCCTCAGGCCGGGGGAGCTTCCTTGAAGAAGCGTGAGCTATCCTGCGTCCAGTAGCTCGGAGCGTCCAGTACCTAGTACCTTGTTATACGATTAAGTAAGAACCTACTGAATTAGGTAGTAGGGGTGCAAAGCGGGCCGAAAAGCTAGACGACAGGATGGCCCGAAAGCACAGAAGGAGATGACAGAGAGCACTTTCTGGCCGGCTAGAGAAAGCAAAAGGGAGAGAGAGCGAGAGAGAGAGAGAGTGAGAGAGAGAGAGAGTGAGAGAGAGAGAGAGTGAGAGAGAGCGAGAGAGAGAGAGAGAGAGCTGGGGGGAGAGGGGGAGCCAAGTCTTTGGGAGCCAGAATCTTCGGGATAAAGCGCCCCACAAATGTGGTTGGTTGGTGAGCTCATACCGTGAATGTGCTGGGAAGCGAAACTCTAGCAGGGCCTCGAAGTTGAAAGCAGCTAGAGGATTTCAGAATCGCACGTGGAAACTCTGTAAATTCTCTGCCACCACATGGAATGCGTATTATATAAACAACTTCGTTGATCCGGCACGAGTTTATCTGCTTTGCAATTTCTACTGCAACAACCGACAACAGCACATATTGCACATCCGCAAGAACTCATCCGAAACACAAGCCACCTCGCCTGGAATCGATCCAGTGGCACATACCTAGTGTTGTGGGCGCATCTGCCGCAATTGACGCTCAAGAGACTCCTGGAGTGCTGAGTGGGAGACAACACACTGGATGTGAGCCAAGGTGCCACAGAAAAGCCTCTACGCGGATGATCTCGGAGCTACCCATGATCTAACCATGATCTGCCCCAACAAATCTTCATCCTTCTCTTCTTGAAGCTGGGCAGCCTTCTTCTTCCACACCTGCACAAATGGTCTCAGTTCCGATCCTCCACATGTATTTGCCTTCAAAACTAAAGTAATTAACCCACAAGGTGTGTTGAACCCGAGGTGTGTTGCACGAGTTCGAGGAGATCACAGTATATGCAGTTGTGCACTGCCCTGATAAGAAAGGATTCAAGGTCGAAAAGCGCGGACCTGCAACGCTGCCCGTGAGCAGGACAAATGGTTTGGCTAGGAATAGAAGGAAGGCTCTTTGATTTGTAGTGTGCGCTTGGGCAAAGTGAAAAACGCTGTGCCTTTTTCCGATATCTGCCACTGGCATCATGTCCTTAAAAAGCTGGTTTGTTGCCTGCCCAAAGTGTGTTGTGCGATGGCAAGCCAAACCAAAAAGGTAGGACCATGGCAGACATGGCAATTGGGCAGTCAGGCACCCAGTGGGAGTGCTGAACGGCTGGGTCTGGTCAGTACTAGACCCTGTGCACTTGACACCTTCGCTGGACACCCCAACAGAAACTCAAAATCAGAGTAGTTCTCGCAAAGATTCAGGTCTATCTCAATCTTCTTTTTCAAGTGTCCAGACTGAGAAGGGATGTCAATGCTTTGTCCCGTCGGACGGAGCAAGCAACATTCTTGGGTCACCAACTCGACAAGGGAAGAGATTGTAAATCACCTGGCATTAACACCACAAGCTGGTGCTCAGTGAAAACCATGTGCAAAACTAAATCCTTAAGGAGAGAACGCTTGCATTCAAGTGATGTTTGAATCTTTAGCATGCCAAAGGGAACCAACCTGGGTGACTTCAGAAACGATCTCCGTGACTCCATGGGATCTGCCCGGAAGCCGCGAAACTCGCGAGCGATGGAATCAGTGCTGTGCAAAGCAAGGCGCCCCGGACCAACACACTGTCACATGTCTCTCACCCTTCAAGCAAGCGGAGCGACTAAACCATCCCAACCCATGTTGTTGGATGGGCATCAAAAACACTCACCGAAACCACCAATGAGATGCATGTAAAGATATGGGAGTTGATCTAAATTCCTTTATCCGGGATCCGTCATTTTCGCAAAAACAAATTTACGTTAGCCAAACTTTCGCCTTCCTGCGCTTTATCTTTCGCCGAAGTATGTTGTATTTATGTGTGCCATGTATGTTGTGTTTTGTTCGCGTCGATGGCTTCTTCTTTACTGGCAAACACAAAATAGAAACTTCACTGTTTGTCAGCATGTGTCTTCTACTTAACTGTTGACACCCTGTACGTCTCTTTTGTTTCTCCTGGGTGTCAGCAAGAATCAAAATTGCAAGAATCACTGTAGTAGCCGGTCACTCAAACTTACTCATAATGGGCTGGGGGTCAGATGTGGCAGGGTGAACTTTCGCCAATCTTGAGCTGAACTTTCGCCAAACTTTCGCCTTTTGCGGGGTAGAGTTTTGTGGCAAAGCCACCCCCCAAGCAGGAGCAGGAATAGTAGTAGTAGTAGTAGTAGCAGGAGGAGGAGGAGGAGGAGCCGCAGCAGCAGCAGCAGGTTATCTAACTTCCACAGCTCATCTAACTTCTGAGTCACTGCCACCAGCTGTTCAGGAAGCAAATGAACATTCATACAAAAGTATATAATGTTTAATCTTTCGCCAGATCTTTCGCAAAAAAAATTACTTTCGCCAACTCGAGAAAAAACTTTCGCCAAATGAGATTTTGATATGTTCCGGGCCATCGTCATACACAATGCTGTCTAGGACCTTTAGATCGACAACCATATGTGAAAAAATTATTCCAAATCAATTTGTCAAGGTCCCAGTGGAAAGTTTCAGCTCCAATATCTCTGACTCGCCAGTCGCCTGATTCTGATAGGTTTCAAGTGTTTGCAATTTGCAAGTGCCTTATTTCTTTGAGTGGCTGGTGGGTAAGCGGCATGAACTTCTCATAGTGGCCCTTGCGTGACGCTGCTCAGCAGGAACACCTAAATGTGGACAAGATGAGGTCTGCTGGCCGTACGTGTTGCAAGTTTTCTTTGGAGATTCAACGTTGCTTAAAACTTCAAGATCTGCAAAATAATACAAATTCAGATTCATGTTGTTTTGGTTGGTTGAACTTGAGTTGAATCCAATCAACCTCAGTTGGTTAAACATTTAGAAAACACTGTGGCCACTTCCAGACCTCCGAAGACTTTCCTGTCGGAACGGCGTCCCTCCAATTCTCAAGCCGCGCCACGTGTTCGCTGCGCCGATAGAAAGCTAGCTGACCATTAGGGGGCCTATTACATCATTCGGGCCGTCGGCAACCATTAGTGACAGGAAAATAGTGAAATCTAACTGTAGCTGGTTTGTTAACATCATTTCAGAACAGTCCTATGAAACAATAAGGATGGCCCCGCTGGGCACATCACATTCCTGTCTTTTGGCCGCAAGTGCTGCAGACCAGTTTTAAGCAATCTACCCTCCTTGGCAACTGCACAAAGGGTACAGCTGCTGGAGATTGAGGCCCCAAACTTGTCGACCATTCAACAACAGAGTGCAGCGGACTGGCATGACCTTTCACCCATCAAGTGCTTAGGACCCAGGAAGAGCCTGTGGGGGTTCTAAATGTTTTAAGTTTCAAAGCTTCGATGGCAAACTTCCGGCTTCATAGTTCTTGATCGTCTGATCATGTCTGATAGGTTGCAATTCCATGCAAGTACAATCCTCTTTGAAGAGAACATCCTTACATTGACGGGTACTCCATGCACTTCCCCTACAGTGAGGCCCTTGCCACTGCTCAGCAGGGCCAGAGGCCTAAAGGCAAACACGAGGTCTGGTGGCACAAGCAAGCCCCGAAACGATGAAATATTGCTGGAACCTGACTGGAGTCTATATAAAACATTACGAGACGATGGAAAAGACTTTGGCCACTGCCAGACCTCCGACTGTCCCGTGTCCGCCTTTTACATCGGAACGTAGATCCCTCCAATTCTCCTCAAGCCGCGCCGCGTGTTCGCTGCGCAGGCAAAAAGCCATCTGACGATGGAGGGCCAATTAGCATGATTTGTTCCAGCGGCCAGCAACATGGAGCGAGAGATAGGACAGGTCAGACACTCTCTTCGAAACAGTCCCTTGCAAGAGATTCCGAGTGGCTTCAGGTTACTCTTTTTGCTGGCCGCACATGGTGTTGATTTCCCCTATTTCCGCTTGTGGCAGCTGCACAAAGGGCGCTACCAATGGAGATTAGGGGCAGCGAAACTCGCAGGCAACACCAAAGCTGTGAGGTACGGAGCAGGCGTAGCACACTGGCATGATCCCCCTACCCTTCAACAAAGTTTTGACTCCGCCGCCCGCCGCTTTTTGGGCTGCATCACGAAGATGTGTAGAATCGTACTCGGCGTTACTGCACTACTTGGGATGCCTGAACTTTAAACAAATTCCTCACCACAACAGCTTTCTGTGGTGTCCACAACCAAAAATGACCAAAAGCCAGGCATTGCAAGTTTAGTCCTTTTCCAAGTGCTGCAAGGAATCACCTACGGCAGAGTGATTATCTTATCAGTTGAGGGGTATGGAATCACACATGTAAGCATCAAGCCATTTCTGAGGTTCCGACAAGGCAGAACCGGCGCACTTGCTGAGATGAAGAGGGTCTTTTATGTCAGCTTTGTGGCTTTTCCAGCTTTACATTGACTTCACAACCGAACACCGGGCTCATAGATGACCCAAGCTGGATCAATGCGCTTGGGCTCCAGAAACAACTTCTGAGTTACATCTACGTCGACTGTATAATCATCTAAATCAAAGGATGTTCATTGGTTTGCTGTGACCAACGCTCCAAAAACTCCGAGTGTCTACAAGAAGGCATGGCTCATGAGTTGTACCAAAACACAAAAGAAACTCCTTCAAAAAGGCTCTGACCCTCTCATCTCTGTGCGAGATGCCACGCTCGGGGCGCAGCAGCAAAATCACGGACCACTCCGGGGTCCCCCGATCCGAGCTGCGTGGTCGCGTCGCACACCGGGGAATGATGAGGCCAACAAGACTTGGGAACGGGAACGATCGAACTGGGCATGTCTTGGAAACGAGGACGCTCTGATCGAAAGAAAGCACATGGAGCAAAAAATGAAAAAACACGTGGGACATGGAGCTTTAAAGAGACTCAACACTAAACAGACTCAATATTGCCCACGTTCGCATCTTGCTGGATTACAAGCCTCAAAGCATGGCAATTCCAGTAACATCCTGAGAAACTGAGCCTTGTCAGGCCTTCAAGATCGAGAATATCAGTGCATGACCGTCTTGCAGCACCGGAGATGTATATGTATATGTGTTTGGAACATGACTCCGGACTCCACTATCATTGTTATTTGGCAGGGTGCCAACCAGAAAACCGCAATGAGTCACAACCAGGCCCAACCAGGTCACAACCAGGCCACTCCCAAACTGTCATTTCAAAGGCCTTCAGCGACTCTCACTTCCATGCGCACATCTTCCATACATCCTCTCATTAGGCCCATGACACCAGGAGGGGATCTCACAGAAAGCAATCCCACCAGGCCTGTGCGCATTCGGGCAACGCACCTGTCTTGTCCTATCTGGATCTGGCTCTGTCACATGATGAAGAACATTGGGGCATGGTCTGCTTGACCGATGTATTCCCCTTTACTGCTTGTCCAGCCTGCCAAAGACATGCGAGACAAGAGCTGGGTCAGAGCACGGTCAGGAAGGCGCACCGCCTGGTGAGATCAACAGACAGCTGGTGGCACTTTCCAACTGCTTTCCAACAGGACTTACCAAATGACTTTCCCAAGCTTGATGGTACACTACAATTTTGGCACCTGCAGCACTCTAAGCTGGGATGTTGCCTTTGGCGGTGGTATGTAACAATGGCTTGCCTTTGGGGTGTGTGGGTGAATTTAATGAACTGAGTGTACGATTTGGTCATTGCTTTGCTGGGCAGAGTCTCTTGCACATGCCAGAGGCATGCCACAATCTGCATGTGCACTTGTCAGGATTGTTGTGCAGGTTGCATTCAGGATTCTGTGGCGGGCAAACACCCCTACCTT